CTTTTGTCCAATTATTTCGTGTTTTGTGTTTTCGCTGCGTTTGGTTGATTTGGGTGGAAAAGTTGATTTTTTCCCAACACCTTGGTGAATGAAGATTACTTCTCTCATGTTTATGATTGAAAGCAAATCTTTGGCGGGTCGAAGCCTCAACTTTTTGTGGTTTATGGTGATCGAAGTATTGCTTTTGTTTCACTCTCGACATATAGAGCTAGTTGCTGGTTATGAAAGATTTCTGGTGAACTAGCTTGTTCTAGGATCTAATTTCGTGTCCTAGGAAATCCTGTTGTTTGTACGGTATGCTGTGCAGTTCAGAGATTAGTGTGATCATGCTTTTGTATAACAAATAGACAAGCCTATAAGGTTTATAGGACTGCTAGTGTTCACTTAAATTGGCCGTACTCCTACGTTTATATTCGAGTTTATTTTCATCAATTATTCAACTTAAAAAGTTTTATGCTTTTGGTAGAATAGGGCTGAATTGATGTTAGAGTCGAACTGTCGAAGTTACTATGTTTTATTAGAAAATTTCATACTATTAAAACATTTATTGATATTTTCCGGTCGATTAATTCGAAGAAATATTTTTGTTCTATTTTTCCTTTTTCTTCACGTATGTTTGAAAAATTAGTAAGAATTGCCGTGATTTCAATTGGAGATGATAGAGTTCAGTTGAGTTAATTTCTGGTTTTGGATTCACGTGATTGCTGGTAATATATATTGAATTATATATGCATTTTGTCATGATTCCACCGGGAGATGATAGTCCTATGAGTTATATCCATTTCTTGGATTTGGATTCAAGTGATCGATATATATTATTTTTGCCGTGATTCCAATTGGCGATGATAGTTTTATCTAATTCCTGGTTTTGAATTCATGTGATTGCGTGAAATATATTTTGAATTATATATGAATATTGTCGTGATTCCAATTGGAGAGGATAGTCTATGAGTTACCTAAATCTTGGATTTGAATTCACTTGTTTGCGTGTAATATATTTTGAATTATGGCAATTTTTGTTAGGGGTGTCCAAAAGTACCGAACCGAATTGGATCGATCCGAACCCAAACCGAACTGAACCGAATCGAGCAATTTTTCATAAGTTAAATACCCGAACGGGTACCCGAATCGAGAATCGATGGGTTTGGGTTGGGTCTCGGGTCTAGACTAAGAGCCGAAGAACTTAAATTATATAAATTTTTTTATTTTTTATA